AAAAAAAACAAAAAAAAAACAAACTTATTTAAACATTAAATTGAATCACCTGAACACACTTCAAATGCCTTAAAAATAGCTCATGAGGCCAGGTACAGTGGCTCATGCCTGGAATCCCAGCACTTTGGGATACCAAGATGGGAGGATTGTTTGAGCTCAGGAGTTTCTGACCAGTTTAGGCAACATAGCTAGACCTCGTCTCTACAAAAAAATCAAAAAATTTGCTGGGCATGGTGGGGTATACCTGAAGGTCCAGCTACTTGAAAGGCTGGGGCAGAAGGATCACCTGAGCCCAGGAGGTTAAAGTTGTGGTGTGCCATGAGCATGCAGCTGCACTCCAGCCGGGGCAGCAGAGTTACAGAGTGAGACTCCAACTCAAAAAAAAAAGAGGCTGGGCTCAGTGGCTCAGCCTATAATCCCAGCACTTTGGGAGGCCAAGGTGAGTAGATTGCCTGAGCCTGTGGGTTTGAGACCAGCCCAGGCAACTTGGCAATACCTCATCTCTACAATAAATAACAATTAGCCGGGCATGGTAGTGCGCACCTGTAGTTGTGGTTACTTGGGAGGCTGAGGCAAAAGAATCGCCTGAGCCCAGCAGGTCGATATTGGGTGGCCTTGAGCAGCCATGAGCAGTCCACTGCATGCACTCCAGCCTGGGCAACGGATGAGACTCCAACTCAAAAAACAAAAAGAAAGAAAGAAAGAAAAGCTCATGGCTGGACATGGTGGCTTACACCTGTAATACCAGCACTGTGAGATACCTAGGCAGGAGGATCACTTGAGGCTGAGAGTTCAAGACCAGCCTGGGCAGTGAGACCTTGTCTCTACAAAAAATAAAATAAATTAGCTGAGCGTAGTGGCATATGCCTGTAGTCCCAGCTACCTAGAAGGCTGTGGTAGGAGGATTACTTGAACCCAGGAGTTCTGGGCTGCAGTGAGGTATCATTGCTCCCCTGCACTTTACCCTGGGTAACAGAGCGAAACAGTCTCTCTTTACAAAAAATAAAAAACAGGCTGGTCATGGTGGCTCATGCCTGTAATCCCAGCAATTTGGGAGGCGGAGGCAAGAGGATTGCCTGAACCCAGAGTTTCAAGACCAGCCTGGGCAACATGGCGAGACCTTGTCTCTACAATAAGTCAACACTTAGCTGGTGTGGTGGTGCACACCTATAGTTTCAGCTACTTGGTAGGCTGAGGCAGAAGGGACTGCCTGAGCCCAGCAGGTTGAGGCTGTGGTGGCCATGAGCAGCTGTGAACATGCCACTGCACTCCAGCCTGGGAGACAGAGTGAGACTATGACACTAAATGATAAATTTTAAAACAACTTATAAATAATGGACGTGGCAAAGGAAAACTATTTTCAGTGCAGAGGAGAACCTTTCGAAAGGCATTTTACCCCTTCCTCCTGTCAGGTCTGGTCTCAGCCATCCCTGGGATTTCATAACTCAAGGAGTCAGGTTTCTGATAGCTGTGGTGGGCCCCCATTGCTTAACCTCAGATTCTCCTGATACAGCTTTGTGCTGTCAGCATTTTGTGAGCTACCAGAAGCCCTTATAAGTACTCTTTGGAGGGTTTTGCAGGAAACAATGGAGAAACTGACTTGGCTGGCATCTGAAAGGCGCATGAGTCAAGAGGGTGAGTCTGAAGAAGAGAACTCCCAGGAAGAAAACTCTGAGCCAGAAGAAGAGGAAGAAGAGGAAGCAGAAGGAGTGGAAAGCCTGCAGAAAGAGGATGAAATGACTGATGAAGCTGTTGGAGACTCTGCTGAGAAGCCCTCTTCCACCTTTGCCTCACCCGAGACTGCTCCAGAAGTGGAGAGCAGCAGAACCCCACCAGGTAAGCTGGGCAAGCGTGTGCTGAAAAACTGGTCTCACGTAGCATCACTGTCTAGAGGACATTGTGTAGAGTAGGGATAGGGAGGCTTATAACCAGAAGGAATCCTTTGCGTGTCTCCTGCAGCCTCTCTTCCCCAAAACAGATGTTTCATGCAGTACCTTTGTGGAGAGAAGATGCTCAGAGATTTTTAATTTGATTCTCATCAGCTGCTAGATTTGTATTGGGTTCATTCACATTCACTCATTTGCCATGTGTGAGACTAATGTTTATTTCAGAAAACACTGCTTGTTCCTCATCAAGACATAGCACATTGAGAGCCCAACGTAAAGCCACACTCCCTCTTCAGACTTCTTTTCTCAGTATGCAGTAACTGATCATTTCATTGTCCTCCCAACTAAGGCAGTTATTCTACAGTCTGCATAGAACTTACTTGACAGATTTGCCTGTCATAGCATTTTCCCCAAAAGCCTTTCTTCTGAGTTGCTCCATAACATTGAATTGAGATTGGGTGGGATGGTACATGTGGTGGAATGGGAAGAGGGGGGTTGAAGGGACACAGAAACAATCTTTTCCATGTGTACTCCAAGGAGAGAGCATCAAAACTGCTGGAAAGGGCCGGAGCAATCACCGAACTCGCAACAAGCGGGGAAGTCGGGCTCGGGCCAACAAGGACACCTCCAAGCTGCTGTTGCTGTATGATGAGGACATACTCGAGCGGGATCCACTCAGGGAACAGAAGGACTTAGCCTTTGCCCAGGCTTATCTGACCAGGGTAGGCAAACGCTGCTTCCTGTTACTACTACTGCTGGTCCCTATAAATGTGGCTGCTTCTCCTTCAAGGGAGGTGTTTTAAAAATAAAGTCGAAGCTACACCCTCAGGTCCCCTCACACTCTGGGAGCTTCCTGTCCTCTCAATAAATCTTGCTTTCTAAAAAAATTAAAACAAAATAAAGTCAACTAGGCATGGTGGCTCACTCCTGTAATCCCAGTACTTTGGGAGGCAGAGGTAAGAGGATTGAGCACAGGGGTTCAAGACCACGCTGGGCAACTTGGCGAGACCTCATCTCTACAATAAATAAAAAAACTAGCTGGGCATGGTGGTGTATGCCTCTAGTTTTGCTGTTTGTAAGGCTGAAGCAGAGAGATCATGTGGGCCCAGTAGGTTGAGGCTGCAGTAGCCATGGGCGTGTCACTGCACTCAAGCCTGGGCAACAGAGTGAGATTCCAGCTCAAAAAAAAGAATGGCTGGGCTCAGTGGTTCAGCCTGTAATCCCAGTGCTTTGGGAGGCCGAGGTGAGTGGATTGCCTGAGCCCACGGGTTTGAGACCCCCTGGGCAACTTGGTGAGACCTCATCTCTACAATAAGTCAAAAATTAGCTGGGCGTGGTAGCGCGTGCCTTCCAGCTACTTGGAAGATTGAGGCAGAAGGATCGCGGGAGCCCAGCAGGTCGAGGCTGCAGTGGCCGGGAGCGGCCACTGCACTCCAGTCTGGGTAACAGAGTGAGACTCCAACTCAAAAAAAAAGAAAAATAAAGAAGTCTCCTTTTTAGACTGTACAACAGGCTTTGTATGCCTCTGCCTTAACTTTCCTGACAATCTCTGAGCGAAAACCTCAAGGAGACAGAGTTGAGTCCTAAATATGTTTATTGTTAATACCCTAGCATCATCCCTCTGTTGCCCAGAGATTGGCGGAAAGATGATACCACAATCATCAGTGGGAGGCTATGACTTTACTGAGTGGGCTAATAAGGACTTTTACTGAGCCCTTGGCTCAAGAAGAAAGACCGCTGGCACGTTGGCTGAGTAGTTGCATTTCTCAAAGTATACTGGTCTTCAGACGTAAACCAACCTGTTCTTGGCAGTTTCCTAGATAACTATCTCCTTATGTTGGTAACCAGTATTCTTTTATCCCCCCCCCTGCAAAGTAGAGTATTGGCTTTTTCTTGTCTCCTAATAATTTCCTAACACCCTTAATTTATGTATTTTTACCCTCCAATGACATCAAACTGAAAAACATGTGCAAAACACTTCTGATATATTTTCTATAGGGTTGAAATCAAGAAGGAGAAGTTAGAGCTATGACCTAAAGAAAAGCGTTACCTGGTTTTGTGGGTAGAGTTATGGTCCCTGGACAATGAAGACTTTTCAGTTGCCTCCTACCAGAAAAAGATCTGGGCCTTGCTCACTCTCTGTGTCTTCTATTAACAGTCAGATATTAAGACCTGTAGGAGGTATAGACTTCAATGGATAATTCTTGGAACTCTCTTCTTTTCCCTTTACCCTTGCTTCTTGTTGGGGCCAAAGAAAAGGTGTTGATGATTAAATGTCTTTCTGTGTAGGTACGAGAAGCCTTACAGCATATCCCTGGCAAGTATGAGGACTTCCTTCAGGTCATCTATGAATTTGAGTCAAGTACCCAGAGGCAGACAGCTGTGGATCTCTACAAAAGCCTGCAAATTCTGCTCCAAGACTGGCCTCAGCTCTTGAAGGACTTTGCTGCTTTCCTGTTACCTGAGCAAGCTCTGGCTTGTGGATTAGTAAGTAAATGAGCATGAAGAGTATACCTTAAATCTGGGTCAGAGTGCAACTGGGATCAAGTGGAGTTGGATAAGACTGTTCAGTCTCCCAACTGTCCCCAGACAGATAGCTTACTCCTAGCCCAAGTTATAAGAGTCTCTGTCTTCAAGGAATGATCTTCCCAACCCTATTCTCCCATTTTCTTTACATGGCATTGAGGGGATTTTACCTTTAGTTGCCAATGGAGACTTAGGTAAGTCATATATTACCTGCTCCTCACTGGAATAAAACAGGCGTTCATTTAACAAGTATTTGTTGAGTGCTTATTATATGTCAGACAAATTCCTAGGTACTAGGAATATAGCAATTGAAAGACTAAAATCTCAGCCTAGGCAGCATACCAAGACCTCATCTCTACAAAAGATTGAAAAAACGAGCCAGGCATGATGGTGCATGCCTGTAGTCCCAGCTACTAGGGAGACTGAGCCCAGGAGGTAGGTGCTGTGGGGAGCCCTGATCGTGCCACTATACTCCAGCTTGGGTGACAGAGTGAGACCCAACTCAAAAAAAATAAAAATAAAACAAAATTCCTGCCCTAATAGAATTTACATTCCCAAGGGGAAGTCAGATAATAATCTATAAAATATGTATGTCGGCTGAGCACAGTGGCTCACCCCTGTAATCCCAGCACTTTGGAAGGCAAGAGTCTAGGGGTTTGAGACCAGCCTGGGCAACTTGGTGAGACTTCGTCTCTACAATAAGTCAAAAAATTAGCCAGGCATGATGTTACATGCCTCTGGTTCCAGCTACTTAGAAGGCTGAGGTGGAAGGATCACCTGATCCCAGCAGGTCGAGGCTTCTATGACTGTGAGCATGCCACTGCCCTCTAGCTTGGGTGACAGAGTGAGACTCCTACTCAAAAAACAAAACAAAAAAAGTGTATTTGTGGTGCATATATATATGCAAATATAACATGTATTAAAATGTAAACAGTAAAATATATAGTAGATAATGTTTTATAGCGATTATGCTGTATAGAAAAATAAAACAGGAAAGGGCACTAGATGGTTGTCAGGCAGGTAGGTGAGGGGATGGTATGTGCAGTTCTGTGCACAGTGGTCTGTGATAAAGTGAGATCTGGAATGTTGAAGAATAAGAGTCTAAACCTGGGCTTCTTGTCATGACGAATAAAAATAGGAATATAGGGACTACTGAGTGTATTCTCATAGTCTTATGGCAGCTAAATGACGGGATGGTATGCATAGTGGCTGTCTTCTGGTATTATGAGGACCACGTGATTGTATATGTGCAAACTCTCTGTAAACTGTAGAGTACCACGGAGTTTGAGTGTCTGATTTCACTGTCCATAATAGAGTGAACAACCCGCAACATACACATCTTTTGGATCTTTTATTCACATCATATTTACTTTGGTTGGATGCCACCAGTTGCCCAACGTGGATGGATGTTAGGGTTTTAAATGAGACTTCACAGTTGGGAACTA